TGCACTGAAATGGTACAACACAAGTGCCCCTCATAGTGAACTACCTGCGGTAAAGGTGAAGTGTGTAAATTATGTGTAAAAATGCACTTTCTGAACTCGCACACACTGAACTCTAATAGCTAATTGTTGAGTCAGAAAGTGTTTAACATCCAGAATATTACGTGCTAATATAAAATTCTCACATATGCTCACACAAGCATCCAAACGGCCTCATTTACACACACACACACACACTGATTTGGTTTGGTGCTTGTAATGATCTATATCACACTGCCAAACACACAATATTGATACTCGGTGCCCATTCCTGCCTCCAGGAGGCGTATCGGTGAGAAACAAGAGAGACAGACAATTATGGAGGGAGAGATAAACAGAGGAGAGAATCTCACGAAGAAGTGGCCGGGTTATATTTCACCACAAAATCAAAAATAAATAAATAAATAGAGGAAATGTGAATTTGAGAGTTTGAGAACCTAAATGTGAAAAACTAAGGGCTGATCATAATGTCATAATATAAAATGAAAATGAAATGAAAAATTATCTGAAAAGAAAATAAAGGTCCATTTATATATAATATATCATGATTTAAAAATATATATAAAAATGACCATGGCCCAAATATTATTTTGAATATTTTTAATTGGAATTTAATTGGGTTAAACATATCGTCATGATATTGATAAAAAAAAATTAATTAATAAAAATGGGCTTTATAATTACCATAAATGGCCCAAATATTGTCTTGAATAGTTTCATTTGGATTCTGAGAGTTGAGCATATTTTCATGATATTTAAAAAAAAGAAAGAAAGAAAGAAAGAAATAACAAATAAATATGGTCCTAAAATGACTATAATAGCCCAAATATTATTTTAAATAGTTTTATTGGATTTTGAGGGTTGAACATATTATCGTGATATCAAAAAAACACCCTTAAAATGACCATTTTAACAGATAAAAGCCACATTAAAATAAAATAAAATAATTTTAAAATAGCCCTTAAAATTACAATTTTAAATTATATATAAAAAGGCCCTTCATTTTTTTTTATATATTATTTTAAATATTTTTAATTGGATTTTGAGGTGAAATATGAGCTGGATGTGCTCTTGACAGACAAAGATGTTTGTATGTTTGGCTTCTCCTCATCTCTGCACACCCTGATCTGTCATGGCCACACGTTCACGTCCTCATCTGTACAGAACAATGTGTAAAAATACAAATAAAAGCTAAAACGAAAGAAAAGAAGATAACAAAATAGTTCAGGAGCGTTTAGGTTTGGATCTCAAAACTCATCCATTAGCAAAAACTTAGATTAAAAAAATAATAAAAATATGATATGAAATATGATTCTATGTCTGATGAAAAGGGAAGAAAATCCATGAGCAGAGCACTGTGACCTTCATCCTGAGACCAGCACACACACACACACACACACACACACACACGCGCGACAGAGAGGATTATGGGAGATTGTGCTGTGTGCAGAGATGTTTCTCGTCACAGGTTTACGCTCATGGTCTTATTACTGTGTTTATGGAGTCATGTTAATAAACCCCCTCTCCCTCCTTTTGTTCTGAGGTCAAAGGTTGCTCTGGATGTAACGGTCGAGCTGAACATTGTTTATTAAACAGTTGAAAGGATTCATTGACTGCTGTCATCTTTTCACACACATTCATGTTCAAACCATCACAATGGCTATTATTACTTTAAGCTCTTAGCAGATTACTTATGAGTACAAAACAAATTTGGATAAATGATTTATAGAAATGTTTGTTGTCATATATTGCTATTAAATATTAATACTATACTGCATATTAATATTCAGTACTGTAAAAGATTATTAAATCCACCCCCTCCCCTCTTCATTGAAGAATTGAAGACCCAACCACGACAACCCCACCTTATTTTTCAAGATTCAAAATTAATATAAGGAATAAATAATAATAAAAAACATTACAATAGGTTAAGTATTGTGAAATGTAGTTTTTGCAAAATACCAAATTATTGTCATTACTTTAAAATGCACATTGGATTGCATTGTATCCAATGTGCATTTAAACTAATGACAACATGGTCATTTAGTATCATTTAGTTGATGTTCTGAAGTCCTTGGAGGGGCTAGGTGTCCTCTATTCAAAGGTGTTGGGTCATCTGAAGACTTCGTAAGAGGCTGGATCCAAGCTGGAGCTGCCTTAAAGGGGTCATATGATGTTGCTAAAAAGAACATTATGTTGTGTATTTGGTGTAATGCAATGTCTTTACGCGACGACACAAAACCAATAAAACGAAACACACAGCGTCTCCACGACATGGCGGCGGCGGCAACAATACTACAGTGAGAATAAAAGTTACGCCTTCTTTCTTTGCGTGAACATTTGGGCGGCGTTATGCAAATCTTCCCACATAGTGACGTAGATATGTGGGGGCGTGTTAGAACGAGCCGTTTTAGGAGGGTGTGGACCAGTCTTAACTTTTATAAAGAATATCTCTTTGGGTTTGAGACTTTAGTCTTTGCAACTTTAGGGATCTTATCTATTCACGAACAGCTTGTAACACTCCAAAGAGAAAGCAAAACTTGAAAATGCATTATATGACCCCTTTAATATTCTTACAGTCATTTTCCCTGATATATTGGTGCTATTTTATGGAATGCCAAACCTGCCTAAATTAGAAATAAATAAATATACAAAGAAAAGTACAAAAAAGTAAATAAATAATTTATACTTCTATTTCCTTAAGTATTTTTTTCTACATTTATTTTTTCTTTTATTTATACATGTATTTATTTCCACTTTTATTTATTTTCACATTTATGTATTTATTTATTAATTTCCACATTTATTTATTTATACATTTCTTCGTTGGTAAGGTAATGAGGAGGGCGTGTTTTACCTCAGGAATAGCAATCGAGCCAGAGTAGGCGAGGGGAAAGCTTTGAGACCACAGTGACACCTTGTGTTTCCCAAATGAAATACAAGAAGTGTAGCCTGCCCTACATGACATGCCTGTTGATAGTGTGTGATGAATGAGTTAGATGGGCAATATGGCCAAAATCTTATATCACTGGTTAAGTCATTTAATATCACCCTAACTGTACTGGGTGACATGGATACATATACTCATTATTTCCTACTTTTACATACACAACATGTGACAAATTTCTTCCCGTGTGGACAGTCACAGCATCAGCTGATTATAATGGGTTCTCTCGGTGTAGACACGGCTTCAGATGTAGATTAATCACATGATTTAGCCTGAGTCATCAACTTGAAATATCCAGAATTAGATCAAACAAAAGGTGTCTATGGGAACAGAGCTAGAGTATATGAAGAGTTCAGATGCAAAAGCCTATTTTTTTCTTTAAAATATTCCTTTTACAGTGAAAAATTACAACAGTATTATTATTATTATATTTTTCTTGTTTATTTTACAGTGAAAGCTTACAATAGTATTATTTCTTGTGTTGTTTAATATTTGCATTTACTATTAACAATAACATTTATAATATAAATTATTATTTTATTAAAATATTTTAACAAATATATGTATATATATATATATATATATATATACAGTATCTCACAGAAGTGAGTACACCCCTCACATTTTTGTAAATATTTTATTATATCTTTTCATGTGACAACACTGAAGAAATGACACTTTGCTACAATGTAAAGTAGTGAGTGTACAGCTTGTATAACAGTGTAAATTTGCTGTCCCCTCAAAATAACTCAACACACAGCCATTAATGTCTAAACCGCTGGCCACAAAAGTGAGTACACCCCTAAGTGAAAATGTCCAAATCGGGCCCAATTAGCATTTTCTTCATAGATTAATGGCTCACACTGAATTTCTGAAAATTCTGAAATTTCAGAAAGGATCACGAATCCCAGCATGGCCCAAATATTATTTTAAACATTTTATTTGGATTTTTGTGAGTTGAACATAGTCATGATATAAATGCATTTATTTGCCTTAAAATTGCACTAAAATGACCATTTTAAGATGTTGGTTTACACTCATGGTCTTATTACTGTGTTTATGGAGTCATGTTAATAAACCCCCTCACCCTCCTTTTGTTCTGAGGTCAAAGGTTACTCTGGACATTAGGTGATCTTTACACACACACACACACACACAATCATGTGCAAACCGACACAATGACTAATTACTTTATTACTTCATCTCTTAGCAGATTTTGATAACTTTTTAGCACTTGATCACTTTTTGTAACTGATGAATACAAAAAATGAATAAAATAAGATTTATTATAAATTAAATTAATATTTTAGTTATTAATACTGTATTGCATATTAACGTTCAATATCATAAAACGTAATCTGTACAATATTAATAAATTATTTTTTAAAGATGTATTTAGATGTATTTATTTAGTAATACACACACACATAATGTGTGTGTGTGTGTGTGACTGAATGTTTAAAAACAATTATTAGTAGCCTACTGTGTATAATTATCACGTGTGACTGAATGTTTAAAAACAATTATTAGTAGCCTACTGTGTATAATTATCACGTATAAGGATATTTCTGTTATACTTTGTGTAATACAAATACAAACAGTGCACAACAGTAACTAAAGCATGATCAGTTACAGTTATGAACAATAAAAAGACACAAAATAGGGAATAAAAAAATCATACACGAGTATTATGATAACTGACGGTCGTAAAACTTTCAAAGCTGTACTGTGATTGGTTTATGAGGCGCACGTGATCCACGTTGACCGTTACACCTTCTCTTGTTCAGCCGCGGAGGATGGGATCTGCTTACATCATGACATCTCTGTTGTGCTTTACACGCATTTCTGTGAATGGGATGAACTGCAATGTGGGATAAATCGGAGGACGTCCAGCCTTCTACACGTAAGAGCCAATCACGAACTGCTTAAATCATCGCATCTGCATTTAAAAAGCTCCGGTTTCCATAGAAACAGCCAGTCTTGAGAATTTGCGGTGCGCATGCGCGCTGACCGGACCAACCGGAAACTTACGCCTATACCGCTATTCGTAGGAAACAGCATATGGGACAGCATATGTCGGATTGTATTGCTGATCAGAAATATGTTATTTAAATGAGCTTCGCAAACAGTTCTTGGCATTTCGGTATTTCCCCATTCAAGCAGATAGGAGTTGATTTTGCATGAGCAAAACAGCTGCCCGGAGGCGATGAAAATATGGCCACCGAGTGAACCGAGTTTACAAGAAACGGACTTTAACTACAGTGACACCAGAGAGCAGGTAAATCATTGATTTCATCAATTGTGAACTCAATTCATACACGCTCGTATGCTCGTTTCAGACACTTCAAGGACTGTTAATCACAATTTGAGTTTCAAAAGAGTTTATAAAGTTCATTCATTGAGTATTAAGTCTGTGCTGTGATTTTTTTTTTTTTCATGTTTATGGCGTTATCACGCATTGATGAAAATGACAAATGATTCCAAAGCATGTCGATGTATGTAAATCCAGTATCTGTTTGTATATGTGTTTTGTGGTCATGCTCCACTGCATAAGCTGACACCTCAAACTGATGTGTTGTCATATTGAAATAAAGGGTGTGTCGGTGTTTAACTTGATATCCTCGGACAGATGCAGCTGTATGCGGTGCATTGTGAGCTGTAGGGAGGAACGGAAATCATATATACCCCTAGAAAATTACTGTTGTGCTGCTATGGAACATCAATGGAAATCTGACTTATCAGATGACAATACCATGACACTGTTTTAAAAAGGGAGTACAGTAACAAAGAACAGCCGCTCTGTTGCCATTAAACATATCATGGAGAACTGTGTTAATAGCATGTTTTTTAGGACGCTACATTAATAGTGTGTGAATATGGTATCACCGCTGTACGAGTGTATAGATGGATGAATGGTTGCATAGATAGATTGACAAATGCACATGTGTTAACCCCTGAAATGCTCATCAGCAGTGTTGGGGAAAGTTACTTCTAAAAGTAATGCACTACAATATTGCATTACTCCCTAAAAAAGTAACTAATTACGTTACTTAGTCACTTTTTATGGAAAGTAATGAGTTACGTTACTTTTGAGTTACTTTTTAAATCTGGGCAGGGCTTGCTTGTTTATATATATATATATATAGGGCTTTTACAATTTTAAAAGAAGAGCTTTTTTCGCACCAAAAGTGAAATGAACATGCATCAGGCTGAGGGAAATGTAAATTCACATCTGTACAGTAGAGGGCGCTGCTCAAGCAAATTGCATGAAGAATATGACGCAGAAGAAAGTTCAACAGTATTCAGCAATAACAAAAATGAAACACAAATGTGTAATTTTTACTTATTAGTATGGTTAAATTGGATCATCGAAGGTCGGTAGTAAAGACATTGGTTAATAAAATGGGATTAAATACATAAATTATATTTATCTTATTTAAAGGGGTCCTATTATGCTTTTTTATTTTTTCAACTTTAGTTGGTCTGTAATGTTGCTGTTTGAGCATAAAAAAGATCTGCAAAGTTGCAATAGCTAACCAATCACAACACACACTGGCCCAGCTAACCAATCACAACACACACTGGCCCAGCTAACCAATCACAACACACACTGGCCCAGCTAACCAATCACAACACACACTGGCCCAGCTAACCAATCACAACACACACTGGCCCAGCTAACCAATCACAGCACACACTGGCCCAGCTAACCAATCACAGCACACACTGGCCCAGCTAACCAATCACAGCACACACTGGCCCAGCTAACCAATCACAGCACACACTGGCCCAGCTAACCAATCACAGCACACACTGGCCCAGCTAACCAATCACAGCACACACTGACCCAGCTAACCAATCACAGCACACACAGGCCCAGCTCTACAGAGTACAGAAGATATTAGTCTACACCACTTAGGCCTATTAAAATATTTTTTTTTTTTAAAAACTGACCCGAAACAATAGGTAGTCCTACAGAATGTAGGCTAGATATAGGCAGCAGTAATTTATAATCTAATATAATGCACGCAAATTTGTTCTTTACAGAACGGAGCGGGATCTGAGCGGGAATTGGTTTACGGCGAGCGTGAGCGGAATATTAACGGAGCGCTTGCTTGGGCGGTTAGAGCGACTGAGTGGAGCGCACGTCCATAGAGCGGAAAACGTAGCGGAGCGTCACACCGGTCCGCTTCGCTCACATGCTCTGGTCTAGAACTACAGTAAGATCATGTTCACACAGTGCACGCAATGCCTCTGCACTCACTCCCGATTTCTCTCAACATGGCAACACAAGAGCTGTCAGTCAATACATGGTAAACAAAGTAACTGGAGTTACTTATTTGAAAAAAGTCAGATATTAAACTCCGATATTTCCTTCTAAATTAAAAAGTAATGCATTACTTTACTAGTTACTTAAAAAAGTAATCTGATTACATAACTCGCGTTACTTGTAATGCGTTATCCCCAACACTGCTCATCACACCTTTTCTCTCTCTCTCTCTGTCTGTCAGATGAACGGGTCAGTCGGGCCGATGCGTGTGTTGGTGACAGGCGGCAGTGGGCTGGTGGGGCGAGCGATAGAGCGGGTGGTGAAAGAGGAGAGCGGAGGGAGAGAAGGAGAAACATGGATATTCCTGTCATCCAAAGATGCCAATCTTATGTAAGAGCTCCTGGTCAAACACTCATCAGACGTCACACAGTTATACAACACAATCATTAAACTATTATCACATATCATAAAGCATGTACTTTAGATTTTATAAGTGCATGTTATGTAAGTAATAATAATGTTCTGTTGACACAAAGAATGATAACTCCTGTTTATTAGAAGCGTAGTTCACTGTAGTTTTGTCGTCTGCCACTTTAAATGCACAAGACCTTTAACCCTTAAATGGCGATCATTATTACATATTTGGGCCTTTAGCAACCCAGAATGTATATCTAACATGGATGGATCTCTAAACAGCCCCAATAGTAAAAAAACATCCTGATATTTTAATTTCAATTACAAAGTAACAATAAAAAACATATTTCGTCTGAATCGTTCCCTATCCACTATATAGTCAACGAACAGAAAATTCTAATTCTGTGAGCAAGTGACTGAATTCAGCCGCAGCTTCAGCGTCTATTTATAGTGTAGGGGGCGGGACGCTTCGGATTCTAGAGAGGATTTGATTGGACAGAAAGTTTGATGAGAAGCTGAAGTGCAGGGTGATGTCATCAAAATCATATTTACATATTGGCGAAAGTGAGAGACTGCAAGTTTTGAATCCTTATATCTTGTAAATACGAATTTTGTCATTGTTTTGGAGCACACTAGCTTATAGATAATATTAAGGCTAACATATTCATACTAAAAGCCAAAAAAAAATTTCAATTTTGATTTAATGGGGACTTTAAGGTCCTTTGCTGTCAATGTTTTTATTGTTCATCAGATGGAAAAAAAATCTTCTCAATGTGATTCCACCAATATCATTGCCATGTGTCATTTACATAGAACTTGAAACTTCATAGTTATCCTTCTAGGTATGAACGGGCCGTAACAGTAGCATTCAAGCAGGAAATATTACATACATAAATCAATTGCATAGTCTTTTCTGTATGAAATATATGTACACTGATTCTTATTAAAGATATTCAGTCAAAAGCAGTCAGCAATTTTCTTCTTTTCTTTGGTTGTTTGATTAACTTTTAACGACTCCCGACAGTAGCCGATATATTAGGCTACTGTCGCTTTAAGAAGTCATGCACGTATGTAATATATTATACTTCTTTCCTTTCACTCAATACATAACTGACTGCGTTTATGTGGATATGTATGTGTGTGTGTATTTAATCGTTACGGCGCAGTAAGTTGCAAAAATAATGAAATTCGTTTCCCTCGCGCTGACAGAACGCGTCTTTTCGCGCGCTGCGTGTGTGACAGTTACTGAGTTTTTCGCGCCTTACTGGCTTTTAAAATCAAGCACATCCCGCGCTATATTTATTCATTTTATTCACCTCTTAATCACTTTAATGTGCCAAAACTTTAATCAGTACTGCGCTGTGCGGATATATATACGGATATATATGTGATTTGTGTTGTTATTTTAGACTATGCTTGTGATATTGTGAAGCACTTTGGGCAACCTGGTGTTGCATTAAACTGTGCTATATAAATAAATAAATAAACATATATATATATAATATCTCTATACACCATTTTATAACGTCATTTCACCTACCTGATCTGTGATATCTTTCGCTGTGTTTCTTCATCTTATACATTAGCGTAGATATTAATACATATCCATTATATACATATATACATTACAGAAATCTTTTATTTTATTGCCTGTTGCTCATTTGTGTCATATGCATTACACGTGCTGCTTTAGGAGCGCTGAAGAGACGAGAGCAGTCTTCGAGAAACATCGTCCGACACACGTTATTCATTTGGCCGCCATGGTGGGAGGACTCTTCAGAAACATGAGACAGAACCTGGACTTCTGGGTAATTATTAACATTAAAAAAACAATGGAAATATACAAATGTTGGACATGTATTAGTGTTGAGTAATTAAACTGTGTTTGTTTTCAGAGGAATAATGTGCACATCAATGACAACGTGCTGCAGGCGGCTCACGAGTTCGGCGTGGTGAAGGTCGTTTCTTGCCTTTCCACATGTATCTTTCCAGATAAAACCACCTACCCTATAGATGAGACCATGGTGAACACACACACACACACACACACACACTTTAATAAGCAGATATTGGGATGGTTTGTGTGTAGCGTTCTTTTAAAGGGCAAATTTTCCTTGATCATTTGTGACCCTGGAGCACAAAAGCAGTCTTAAGTCGCTGGGGTATATTTGTAGCAATAGCCAACAATACATTGTATGGGTCAAAATTATAGATTTTTATTTTATGCCAAAAATCATTAGGATATTAAGTAAAGATCATGCTCCATGAAGATATTTGTAAATTTCCTACCGTAAATATATAAAAACTTAATTTTTGATTAGTAATATACATTGCTAAGAACTTCATTTG